GAGCACCCTGTCCTGCCCCACCATGCTTCAAGCTACATACATTGATTACAGATTTGTGAATTTATTTTTATATAATAGTGAATGACGTAAAGTTATTAATTATGCTGAAGACCACGAGCCGTGGTCGTGGCACGTACATAAACATTCATAATGTTACTGTATTGTTTGATTGTTACCTACATCCGTATCCTTACATACTAATACATATAACAAACATACATGTATGTTCGTTACTTTATTTGTATAGAAATTTGGTGTAGATGTACTTATTGTAGAATGCGAAACATCTGTTAAATCTATTTTAGGCATTGATCCTATTTCATCCTTTACAACAATTTTCGTAATTTGGAACAAATTGGCAAAACATTCAAAGGAGTCATTGACTGTACTAGGTTTTTTTCTTATGGATGATAATGGAATGGTGCACCCGCCTGCGCTAACGGTTTACGCTGGCGGGGCACCAGTGGAGGATGACTATACGAGGTTCTTTTTCTTATGGATGATAATGGAATGGTGCACCCGCCTGCGCTAACGGTTTACGCTGGCGGGGCACCAGTGGAGGATGACTATACGAGGTTCTTTTTCTTATGGATGATAATGGAATGGTGCACCCGCTTGCGCTAACGGGTTATGGCGAGGTACCAGTGGAGGATAATAAAATAGTGATGAAGACAGATCAGTTAGCCCATCGTGATAAACTCACCAGGACTTTATCACGATGGTTTCCATGGGGAAACACGTAGAGGTCATATGACATGGTACATTGCTAGCAATGGGGTTATCAGGTTACAGGAAGAAAGGGGATTGTTAGTAATGTGGACTACATTACTAACAATCCCCTTTCTTCCTGTACTAGCGATTTAGTTTAGCAGTGTCCTGAGATTAAAGTCGTATCCATCAGGAGTTGGCCTTCAGCCGCTCCATAAGTCTTTCAGTGGAGTGCCATCTGCACTCGCCCCCTATCGTCCGGTGAAGCTGTAAAGGCCAGCTGCGGCCAACAGCATTAGAGTACTCCGAAAAAAACAGATCGTACAGTACATTTTCTCAAAACTGAGTCGCACGTGTCACGCATTGCATTCCGGCATCAATATTGACGTAACAAATATTTGTCTCGAGTGGTTGTCTAAAATGGATTGTGAAATATTAGGTGGATTTTCCAGTTATAAGTGGGATTATATTACGTTTTAACGTAATATTTATATTACAGCTTATTTTATACATATAGGTTGTATAAAATAGATATATTCATAACTAGCCTTTGCTCGCGGCTTCGCTCGCGTTAATTTATCCCCTTAAGGGTGGAACTTATCAAAATCCTTTCTTAGGGGATGCCTACATCATAGTAGCTTTATGCATGCAAAGTCTCAGCACGATCGGTTTAAAATTGATAAAGTTTCATATAAACTTTCATCCCCTATTTTATCCCCTTGTGGGTAGAATTAATCAAAATCCTTTCTTAACGGATGCCTACGTCATAACATCTACGTGCATGCCAAATTTCAGCCCGATCCGTCCAGTGGTTTGAGCTGTGCGTTGATAGATCACTATGTCAGTCACCTTTGAGTTATATATATTTAGATTAACATCTGAAAATATGAGTACTTAATCAGTCCGGTTTTTTTATACATCTTGTTTTATCTGTTGTATAAGACCATTCTTTGAAATTCTTTTCTCTGCTACAAAAGTTAATCATGTAACGAGAACTGTTGCGGGTTAATGAATACTATATTGTTGGTTGAGACGATGCATATTAGACAGATGATATTTTACTGACAAAATGTACATAAACATATTGATCTTATATACTAAATGACAATAGGAAAATGTAACGTGGAGTGACACAGTTTAGACACAGCAGTGCTTAGTACACAATATTGGATTTGTGATTAGAGATTAGAAATAATCTTTATTCAAATAAACTCATTACAAGCACTTTTGAATAGTCATATTTTGATTCTACCACTCATTTGGAATGCATTCATCACAAGAAGAATGAGCAAGAAACTAGTTTGTTGCTCTTTTTAATAGATGTTTTTTTATATAAATAATTACAATATAACAAGTAAGAGGCATGCGGTAATCAACATAGAAATCGCTTTGTCTTACTAGACATTATTAAATGCAATTATTATTTTGATGTATGTTATGGGACACAGTTACTAGGTAACTGTGTCCCATAAGAACCATTGAAATGATGTCAAAATTATAAAAAATTAAATACATATTTTCAAATTCAAATTCAAAATATCTTTATTCGTGTAGGTCTATTACAGACTCTTATGATATGTCAAATCTACCGTCAGTTCGGAATGATAATAATATTGAGATGAGAAGAACTGAGAAGAAACTCAGCTCGTATTCCATACATATACTTATTATTAACAAATAGTTATACGTATAAAGATATACAAAAAATATATACTTTAATAATAATAAACTAACAAGTAGATACAAAAAAGTAACTGTAATTTACTAACACTATGACTTTGTATTAAAGCAACAAATAAAAAGTCAAGTTAAGTGCAGATAACGCCGCGTTTAAAGTTAATATAACAATATATAATAAAACGACTGGTTGTGTAACAACTTTAATTGTTCTATTCATTGTTTAAATGATATAACTTAAATGCTCTATTATATCATCTAGGTGTACACGGACTTTGTGCTTTAAGGTCACAATCTCGTGAATCATTGCCTGGATACAGATGTATACAGATGTGTACAACGCGTGTTAAGGATAATATATCATATTTTTCCTTATTTTCCAATATACCTGTTCGAGTACATTCGATAAGGTAAAACAAATGAGGTTAATACACCACGGTTGGTTTCCTGTAGCATCACAATTCAAGGTGCAATAAATTTAAAATTGCGCCTCCAAATGCCAGAGGTCTACATGTTCCTCTTTAGGCATGTCATGTAGAACCGGTCGAGATTAATGCTTTCGAAGAAAATAACCTTATTGATTGGTTTATGGATTTTTGTAGTTCGAGCGTGCATCAGTCCTTAGCGAAAGACCCTGTGCCTTACACTTTTGGGTTGAGGTCGTAGATTTTCCAGTTCGATCGATCCCCCGTCCAATTCAAACGGGGATCGATCGTCACGCGGGAGTTGGCTTTCAGCCGCACCATAAGTCCTTGCGCGGGTTTGGAGTGCCATCTGCACTCCCCCCTAACGTCCGGTGAATCTGTAAAGGCCAGATGCGGCCAACAGCATTAGAGTAGTCCGAAAAAAAACTCGTAGTTTTTGAGACGTCAGTAGCCGGCCGGCAGAAGACTCGCAGTTTTGTTCAATATATATTTATAATAATAATTAGTAGTTCTTATAATATTATAGTTAGTAAGCACTTTTATACCTGCCCTGAAACTCCTTGACCAGCATAATTTTTGTCACCGGTCTTTTCGCGGGAACCGCCTGAACTGTCAAAACTGGCGGTATTTCCACAGATTAATAATTAACTTTGAAGATCAGGTCTTCAACTCAAACTTCTCGACCAACATAACTTTTTGTCAACGACCTTTTCGCGGGAACCGACTGATCTGTCAAAACTGGCGGTATTTCTACAGATTAATAATTAACTTTGAAGATCAGGTCTTCAACTCAAACTCCTCGACTAACATAACTTTTTGTCACCGGTCTTTTCGCGGGAACCGCCTGAACTGTCAAAACTGGCGGTCTTTCCACACATTAATAATTAACTTTGAAGATCGGGTCTTCAACCGGATTCCTGCATAGTGGAGAATATTCTTAAACGCTGTTCTTTTAACAACACTTTTTTGTCGTTCGATGAATATGGAATAGTGCATTACCGAGGAACTTTTTATAAACACTTTATTTTAGATGAAGCTTATCATAATAGTGAAAACCGTATACAAAACGGTTAAGTAATTTCTCAGTTACGTTGATAAAATGAGAATAATTATATCTCAGGCCAATTCGTACAGCGCCATCTAGATCCGAGCTAAGCAGAGCTTGTGTTATGGGTACTAGATTAGAAAATTGACCTATAATATTATTTCTCAGATATATTGTTCATAACAATTTTACTACTATATTTTAAAATCCTAAATCCAATAGTATTGTCAATGTGTTAATTATCCTATGCACGCTATAATAATACTTTTTTTTTTTAATAATAAATATAAAGTTTCTCACTAGTTCTCGCTTCAAACAACTTCCTGAACTGGACAAAAAGTAATGAAACAAAAAATCAAGAATCATAATTAACTACATTAATTGATAGAGTTACGATCTGTACGATATTTTTGTTTAAGATCATCCTATTTATATCTGTGCAAATTGTCCTGATTTATTTAAAATAATATTACATATCCATTTCTATTTTAAAAATATTATTCTTACGGTATTTTATTTACATTTATACATTTTACAAAAGGATAAGAAGAATAACTTCTTATCCTGAATCTTTCAAATCGTTACTGCTTATTTACTCTTACATTGTTTACGGTTTACTGCTATATTGTGTTATCTGTGCTGCTACTCATTAAATTATATCTACTATAATGTTGGTAGTACTGTAGTAGTTGTCACTACGTTCTTCCTAATTTAAAAAACGAATCTGTATTTTTGTAATCATATACTCATTTGAAAAGAATAAGAGTTGACTCTCTGGTCAGTTCTTAGATCGAATGCACTCCGAACTGACGGTAGATTTGACATATCATAAGAGTCTGTAATAGACCGACATGAATAAAGACATTTTGAGTAGAGTCAAATATAATCAAAATATCTTTATTCATGGAGTATCAGACTCCATTTTAAAGATTAAATAAAAATGAAGCACAAATTTATAAAGCGACTAATGATGTAAACAGGTTTATAATTAAATATGTTTTTCTAGATTCTAAAATGTGTTACAAATGCGATTCGCTTGTTTCAGTATAAACCGGCTACCGCTGACACCGAGTATTAACGCAATACAAGTTGGATCATTATAATCAAAGCTGGGAACAAGTGAAGTGACCGCCTGCGCCCGCGCAGCCGCGCCGCGCACTCCAACCGCCATTCCGCTGCCGTGAGCCTACCTGGAAGCACGCGTCGCGAATGTTTCTGTCATATCTTTCGAAATAGTGACTTATTTGTTATGGTGTAATTCCAACCTGTTTACCACAATTCAGTTATCGTGAATAAATTCGAATATATGTTCGTATGTGTTAAAGTGAACAATTTATGCGTTAACGAACAAGTGCATTGAGTAAGTGTAGAGAAGGCTACATTCCAAACCGGTGTCGTTCTTTAATGGACGAGGTGTATACTCTGTGTGTGTTTTATTACTTAGCGAGGGAAGTGACTGTGTTCCGCAGCCGCTCTGCGAACTGGACCGAGCTCCTGCTGTCTAATATTTCTCAATCGTCGTTGCAGAATGTAAAAATATAGACTAAATTAAGCCAAAACAAAAGAAAAATGGCTCGTGGTACACTCAGTGAAAATGAACGCCAGTGCTTGGACGGCGAGGCAAAAAACCAATCAGAGCGTCTGTTAGAAACTGAAAAAACACTAAGTGGTGATTGCAAACCGAACGGATTGCGAGTCCGCTTCCTAGATGAGGAAGGAAAGACCGAGAGAACGGTCAGCGCCGACGAGGTCGATTACTCAGTGTCCAAAGTGAAAAAGATACACATACTAAAAAATAGGAGTTCAAGCGAGACAAGTATACTTCTGAGGAATCCATCGCTGATGAAGAGATATTCGAGTGCTGAGCGTCGGTTCAGCGATGGCAACACCGACAACCTCAACAACAATTCAATGAGCGAGAATCTCAATGGAAGAATATCTATTTTGAAAAATTCCAATTCTGATACTGTAGATAAGACTGAGAATGATACAGACCAAACCAAAGACGCAAATGGGCTGAGCTTTAAGAAAAATTGTAACGTTTATAGCGTAAACCAGGCGAAAACTTTGACGCCGGAGCGCAAGAAGTCGATACCACTTACAATGCCTAGATTGATCGGGCATAAACTACAAGAGAATGGTCAGTGTAAATCTATTCTGCCAGCTGAGGTATGCCTTGCTGATGGTGCTTCTGGGAAAGATTTTACCTCGCGAGCTATCGGTCGGCTTTCTAGAGGTTTGGGGAAACTTCTTCGACGCACTAATAGTGTGCGAATCAGCGAGCCTGACCCAGTATACAAGGTGGCGTATCTTGGCAATGTTCTCACCGGCTGGGCAAGAGGTAAGTCAGTTTTAATTGAAACTCATTTGTACTCTATCTGATTTAATACCTTTCCATAAACAATAATATGTGGCATCCAGAACATTAAATTACAGTCTTGCAGCGTTAGAATTATCATTTATAATAATAGAACCTGAATCATTTTTAAATTCATCGAAACATTTCTGATGGAATTAGTACCATTGACAATTTTCTAATTATTTTCCTATTTGTTTTTGGAGATTGTAAATAACTCTACGACAGCTACTGTTTTAATTCTATTAAGTATTTAATATCTAATACTAATAAAAAAGTGCTTGTTGGTGGTTTGTATTCGTACGTTTCGAAATGGAAATGTAAAGTTACAATGATTGTTTAAAAGAGCAACACGCGAGTTTCTTGCTCGTTCTTGTGATGCGACAGCTTTCCGAATAAGCGGTAGATTAAAAGATTGATAACTATGACTATTCAAAAGTGCTTAAATTAAGTTTATTTGATATATTTCTATTATATTCTCTATTGTTAACAAAACTATAGATTACCAGACTCAGTACACTAATACCAAATGTTTAAATCTATACGCTTTAGGCTCTATAATTAATTCGAAAATGTAACAAAACTCTTTGATTAACATATAAATAACTAAAAACATACTAATTTTTTTTTGTATATCATAATGAAATGGTGCACCCGCCTGCGATAACGGTTTACGCTGGCAGGTCACCAGTGGAGGATGATAAGATGAGCATGAGATCAGGTCAGTTAGCCCATCGTGATAAATTCACCTGGAATTTATCACGATGGTTTCCAGGGGCAACCGCGTGGAGGTCAACCTGACATGGTACATTGTTACCAATAGGGTCAAGAGTCCACATTAATAACAATCTCTTTCCCCCTAAACTTACCAACTAGATGTTTATTTATCTAATTACCGACTCAAATTTCATATACAAACACATTTATCGATCAAATTGTCATAGTAAACAATTCAGAACTGATGTAATACTTACATAGCTGTTTGCTTATATTACTCGCAATACATAAAATAGCAGTTATGCAAAAATATATATGAAACTTTGTAGCATGTTTAAGATTTGAAATTAAAATTTGAATTACATTTCAAAGTTTCTAGCATGTTTAAGATTTGAAATTAAAATTTGAATTACATTTCAAAGTTTCTAGCATGTTTAAGATTTGAAATTAAAATTTGAATTACATTTCAAAGTTTCTAGCATGTTTAAGATTTGAAATTAAAATTTGAATTACATTTCAAAGTTTCTAGCATGTTTAAGATTTGAAATTAAAATTTGAATTAGATTTCAAAGTTGCTTAAACGGTCCAAGGTGGAATCAATGGAAACAATGTATATATCGATGATAAAATTCTATTAGTCAGTCTATAATAGCCTCGAGCATGAATTATATAGAACTAGCTGTGCACGCGACTTCGTTCGCGTAGAATTTAACTTTATTTCTAAAACAAAAGTAGCCTAAGTTACTCGTTATTACATCAGCTACCTGCCAAAAGGAGTCCCGTCAAAATCGGTCCAGCCATTTCAGAGATTAGCCACAAAAATTGTAAAAACTGTTATTTTGGTGTATGTACCGTATTTATATTGATATGCATATAGTAAAAACGGTTATTTCAATATTACAAACAGACACTGGAATTTTATTTATATGTATGTTAGATAGTACCTATCTTTTGTAGAGCAGCGTGAATTTACTCGAAATTTGCGTTCTCTATGCGAGTATGGAAGACAAATTTGTAATATTTAGATTCATATGCATGTAGTAAAAACGGTTATTTCAATATTACAAACAGACACTCCAGTTTTATTTATATGTATAGATAACATCAAATGACATAGTATAATTTGCATAGTAATTACCATTTAAATTGCTTGTAATGACATTATCGTTTACAGTTTATTTTTTACTAGCTGTGACCGCGACTTCGTCCGCGTTATATGACCTTGACCAAATGAACATAAAGAAATAATGTAACCCAAAGAAAAATTTCAAAAATAACAAACTTTCTATCATCCTCTGTTTTATTAGAATAGAAAATCATTTATTTAAATAAACTTACATTGAAGCACTTTTGAATAGTCATAACATTTTTTTTTTAATCTACCGCTCATTCGGAATGCTGTCTCATCACAAGAAGAACAAGCAAGAAACTTGTGTGTTGCTCTTTTAAATAATTTATTCTTACTTACAATTTAAGTTTAAGTGTGTGAATACAAACCACCGATTAGCACTAATTCAATGAAATAATAAAATAGAAAAAACATTCAATATACAATAACTGGTTAAACAATTAATAAGAGAAAATAAGTCATAGTGATTAGAGCAGACCAGTCCACACAAGCAGCACCCGTTCATGAGTATGACGGATGAGCCAGCCACCACTGCGCTCGACCATATTTTAGGGAGCCCAACTGATATTGCTATTTATTATTATATTATATTTATTATTACAAAGATATTGTACCCACTTAGGGGGACCATTTTAACAGACTGTGAATGTCATACAAACTTCATCACCAAAAATAAGTTTACAACTTCTAGCTTTAAAAGTAATGATATTTCCATACATCCTTTCATCTCCGTTTTCAACCCTTTACTACCCTTTTTTCGGATTAAAAAGTTAACTTCATGTACCTGCTTGTTAATAACAGGTATTTCATTAGTTATTATTTTGCTATCGTAGTATAAATGAAACGTGAATTTAATGACAATTTTTTCTGTTATTAGTTTAATATTGAAGTCTTAGGGTTCTTTTGCAGTATCGGCAATAAATATTATACAATAACTATAGATATCATAAACGATCAAGGAAAACATATCAGGAAATGATTGTAGCGTTTTAAAATTTCACTTTAAGTTTTTACTCATACTTATTACATTTATATATTACTAGCTTTTGCCCGCGGCTTCGCTCGCGTTAATTTATCCTCTTAGGGGTGGAATTAATCAAAACACTTTCTTAGCGGATGCCTACGTCATAACATCTACCTGCATGCCAAATTTCAGCCCGATCCGTTCAGTGGTTTGGGCTGTCCATTGATAGATCACTATGTCAGTCACCTTTGAGTTATATATACCTATATATAGGTATAGCTGTATCCGCGACTTCGTCCATATGGAAATTACCTTCTTTTTTCTAAAATAAAAATACTTTAGTTTACTCCTTATTCCTTAAAGTCCCGTCAAAATCGGTCCACCCATTTTAGAGATTTGCCGGGAAAAACACCTCCGGAGAGACAGACAAAAATTGAAAAAAGCGTATTTATATTAATATGCATGAACTTATAGTAAAAATTACGAACAGACACTCCAATTTTATTTATATGTATAGATTTAACGTGGTAATTTTCGAGGTAGGAATAACAACTTGTTTAACATTTATTATTTATCCGAAACTTTCATTTATATACCCGAATACGTACTTTATTATATCTAATTGTAAGGAATGCACGTAATTTCTCTTTACACAGTTGTTCAGAGTGTTTCAAACATTATTACAATGTAGATGATTATTTTTTTTATAGTTACATTTGTATGTAAACAAATAATAAGATAATGGCTCATGAACTGTACGAGTGTCTGTTTAATTTATGTATTAGTCATTACATAGTATAAACAAAGTCGCTGTCGCTGTTTGTCGCTATGTATGCTTAAATCTTTAAAACTACGCAACGGATTTTGAAGTGGTTTTTTTAATAAATAGAGTGATTCAAGAGGAAGCTTTATATATATAATACATGTACACCCGTGCGAAACCGGGGCGAGTAGATAGTTAATAATTAATATATTGTTTTATAATTGCTATTAGTAAACATTACACGCACTTAAATACGTGCAAACACGTGTGTCAAGACGAACCTCCCGTGATTTTGGATCAAGTAAAAGTGGCTCGAGAGAACATCAGGGTACCGTCACGGCAGATGCAGATCTCACTTTCACTGTAGCAAAGGCACGTCTGACCTCAGCTCATGACATCAATTGAAAATAAATTGCCTCAACCTTTGTAATAGAAATAGAGGGCGAAATCTTTGTATCTTTATAATTTCATTTTTACCTTAAGCGGTACCTTTTGATTAGTCTGGTAATATTTGAAGGAAGTAGGAAGAATTACAATTTACCATCAGACGGGCCGTATGCATGTTTTTTATTGCTGTAGGACAAAGCATACATAGGGACGGACAGACAGCGACAGCGACTTTGTTTTATACTACGTTGTAATGATAATAATCTAAGGACAATTCACACAGCGCCATCTAGTCCCAAGTTAAGCTAGTTAAAGCTTGTGTTATGGGTACTAGATAACTGATACAAATACATAGATATATATTTTTTGTGAATACATACATATTATATGTAGAAAACACCCAGACTGATACAAAAAATCATACTCATGAATACAAATGTTTTTGCCGTGTGTGGAATCGAACCCACGATAGGAAGTAACGGAGTACTAAACCGCTAGACCAAGGTTGTCGATAAATATGTCATAACGCATGTGAAATACGTTTTAATATTTTTATACAAATTGTTAGAATGAGTACAAATTTCTTTGGTTGTAAAATCTACTTCACTTAAAAGAGCAACACACAAGTTTCTTGCTCGTTCTTCTTGTGATGAGACAACTTTTCGATTAAAAAAAAATATGACTATTCAAAACTGCTTAAATGAAATTTATTTGAATATAGAATATTCTATTTTATTCTATTCTATTCTACGGAATTTGCTTTGTCTGTTGGGAGGTTGCATAAACTTCGTTATTTCATAGAGACGTTGTGCTCTACCTACCGAAACAATGTGTCACAATTGTTTTTTATTGCTATATATATATATACGCTATTATGTATGCCGAATGGCGTGAAATATGTTAAGTTGAATGGATGAGATGTTATTTATTTTTTACTAGCTGTACCCACAATTTCGTCCGCGTGGGAATTTTATTTTATTTTTCTAAAATAAAAGTAGCCTAAGTTACTCCTTACTATATTTGCT